TGACATACAAAAGGTTTTGTTTTTGTTTTTGTCTTTTGGCAAGGCCTAGGATAAGCAAGGGTGAGAAGACTTCATCTCCGGGCTTTGGCAGGCAGAGTATTGACGTGGCTAGCTTTTTGCAAGATGCCACCAACCTCTCCTTGTGACTAAGAATGCCACTGTGGCTGGGCACCGGCGGCTCCTACCCGTCGCCCTAGCTACTCAGGCGGCTGCGATCTGAGGATCTGAGACCGGCCAGCCCGGGTAAGAAGGTCTGGGAGACTCTGAGCTCTAATTAAACACCAGAGCAAACCTGTGGCTCAGTTGGTAGAACACACAAAAAACCCAAAAAAACCTGACAATCTGAGGGACAGAGCCCCGGCTCTGAGTTCCACCCCAGGACCCGCACAGGACAAAAAAGAATAGCACTGTCAGTGTTCATGTGTGATGCATAAAGCCCTCCTGCCTTGACGCCCAAGTTTAAGGTACCCCTGGCCCTTTGCACCGACTCCCCACAGCATCCTCAGTACGAGTAATCGGAGCTGAGGGTCTCGGCGCACTTTCTGGCTGGCTTTGAGCCGCGATCCTCCCATCTCAGCCTCCTGAGTAGCTGGCATGAAGCGCGTGTGGCGCCCGCAGCCCACGGGTGTTAGGTTGGCGGTGGCGGGTGGGGGTGTCCTCTCCCACGGGCCTGTTCAGGCAGTAACCGAGGACATCTTGTAGATGCGCACCCCTGTCTCTGGGACCCCGATTTCCCCTCTTCCAAGAAAGACAGGCTGCCCCCCAGCCTCAGGCTGCGAGGTGCCCTCTCCCCAGCCCCCAGGGCCCGCCCGAGGGTTCGCTCTGCTGATGGCCAAGCGCTCCAGCAGGCGACTCCCCCACTTCCCCCTGCCCCCCTCCCTCCTGTGACAGCCAGGCCGGGGGGCTTGGCTTCCTTTCTGGGGTTTTCGCCAGCTCGCTGTGTGCTCCACACCCACAGAAGCCGCCCAGGAGCCCCTGCGCGTCCTCCTGGTGAGTCCCGCGTCCCCTGCACCCCGGGCCTCCCACTCCCGCCCCCAGGGGCTGCGTACTTCTTCTAGAAAGTTCCAAGGCAGCCAAGGTGACGGGGTGTCGCCTAGCCAAGGCATCTGGTGAGGTGGGTAATGAGTCTCCTCCTGGCTAGGCTCCAGGCGGGCCCGTGATTTCTGTATTCAAGGGAAGGGGCAGAAGGTTCTGGAAAGAGATGAGCAGAGGGGGCATGGGTGCCAACATGGAGAGGCGGCCCTCGTGGGCAGGATCCTTAGGAGCCGAGAGGAGGAAAATGAGCAGGTTGGAGCTGAGGGGTGAGGGGGGCTGGGGGGCAGGGCCCTGGGACGGGGTGATTAGGAACCAGGCCTGGCAGTCACACGCCAGCCGGACCCCTCTCCTCTGCGGGGACGCGGGGGCTGTGTGTACCTGCCGCCCGCGTGTCACAGAGCACAGCGGCCATGCGACAACACAGGTGTTTATGATGGAGATTGCGTGTGTGTGCGTGTGCACACGCGCACCCCCCAGCCTCCCTCCTGGGAGCCTGCCTGTCCCCTGCTGCCTTTGTCAAGCCAACCCCACACGAGCTGGCTGTTGAGCGCGTGCAATTCCAGAATTTCTTCCAATCGCCTTCTGCCCAGTAGGAAGCCTTTGCCCATGCCCTCCTCCTGAGCCCCCCCCTCGGACGCCTGGAGATGTCCAGGAAAGCGAGGCCTGGGGGGGGAGTGCTGGACACTGGACAGCCCCTCCGCCAGCTCCCCCTCACCCCCAAATAAGATGGTGTCCCAGACAAACAGAGTGACACCAACTGCAAGGGGTGAACCCAGCCTTCCTATAACCAGTAAGACAAGGGTCAGGGCAAGACCCCCCCTCCCGCCCCCAAGCTAGCCAGGGTCACAGAGCTGCCAAAAGCTTTGGACCTGTACACAGCAAATCCTTGTGGGGTTTTTTGGGAGGTTTTTCTTTTTTTGCGGGGGGGGGGGGGGCGGTCATGGGGCTTGATCTCACAGCTTGGGCGCTGTCCCTCAGCTCTTCAGCTCAAGGCGAGCGCTCTACCACTTGAGCCACAGCGCCACTTCGATTTTCTGGCGGTTTACTGGAGATAAGAGTCTCAGGGACTTTCCTGCCCCAGCTGGCTTTGAACCAGAATCCTCAGATCTCAGTCTCCTTAGTAGCTAAGAGGACAGGCGGGAGCCACTGATGCCCAGCTCCCGCTAGCTTTCCTAAACAGCTATGTTCCCTCCAAACAAATCAGTCGCTTTCTTCCCAGCACCCCCCGCCCCACACTTCTGGGTCTCATACCTTTGCAGGTAAGATTTTCTTACCCTGGAGCAACAGCCCCAGGCCCTTTGCACATCCCCACGCTCTTTAGCCTTCAAGGGTCAGCAAAATGTGGCCTGTTGAGTGAGGCTCTCCTGGACGCTTGCTAGCGCTGGAGCCGTGGCCAGCTCCCCTTGCTTCCTCCTGCGGCCCGGCGGCCACCACCATTGCCACCACTGATGTGGGTTGGGGCTGAGTCAAACCCCGCTGGCTCCCAGGGGACCGTTGGGAGACAGTTGAGAGGTTCCTCACTCTCAGTGTCTTCTGCCTTATGTGGGTGTTCCCTCCCCCTCCCCCTTCTCGGGGACAGGAAGAAAAGAAGGCAGGCTCTGAGATTTTTGTTACAGGGAGAATAAAACAGATGAAAAGTATTCTTTAAAAAAAAATTTTTAAATAGGGCTGGGAAGGTGGCTCAGTGGTAGAGTGCTCGCCAAGCATGCATGAAGCCCTGGGTTCCAGTCCTCAGCACCACAGACACAGTTAAAGGCAGAAGTGGCGCTGTGGCTCAAGTGGTAGAGCACTCGCCTTGAGCAAAAGCAGCTCAGGGACAGCGCCCAGGCCCAGAGTTCAAGCTCCAGACCCGGCCCAAAAAATAAAAAAATTAAAAATATAATGTAGATGAAATGTAGATTTAAACTACCAAGGCGATCTGTGGTGTCTTTACGCGGCAGATGTAAGGGGAAAGACCGTCTGTGCCAGCATCGGGTCTTGAACTCAGGACCCGGGTGCTGTCCCTGAGCTTTCTTCCTCTCCCGGCTGTCACCCCACCGAGTCACAGCTCTGCTTCGGGCTTTCTGGTGCTTCAGCAAGAGAAAGTGTTTCATGGACTTTCCTGCCCAAGCTGGTCTTGAAGCACGATGCTCAGATTTCAGCCTCCAAATGAGCCAGCTAGCGTCACCAGCAGCAGCCCGAGAAAGATGGTTTGTTTTTGCTCTCTGGCCGCTGTCCTGGAAGGAGGAGGCAGGCTCTCAGCGGAGCCTCTGAATTCAGCAGCTTCTCACTGCAGGGCGGGCGTCCTTCCCAGCGGCTGGCGGAGGGCGTGAGGCCTGCGGATATCACATGCTTGCCTTGCATGCATGATGAAGCCCTGGGTTCGAATCCTCGGTACACATGCTCAGAAAAAGACAGAAGTGGTGCTGTGGTTCAAGTGGGAGAGCGCCAGCCTTGAGCAAAAGCAGCTCAGGGACAGTGCCCAGGCCCTGAGTTCAGTTCAAGCCCCAGGACTGGTTCCTATAAAGGTGATGTACAGAGAGGTTACAATTGTCAGGTAAAGACTTCAATGAACTTCTTGAAAAGGTCACACAGCATACTCTTCTCCACCTTGTGTTCTAACCTAGTGATTTTGGTGACCTCTTTCCTGTCAGCCAGAGGTCTCTCTTCCTCTTTTTATTGGCTACCTGTGGTTTATGGGATGCATGAGTCATAATGTAGACCAGTGGCTGAATATTTAGGTTGTTTCCAGTTTGTGTGTGTGTGTGTGTGTGTTGGTTTGAACTCAGAGCCTGGGCACTGTCCTTAAGCTTTTCTACTCAAGTCTGGCATTCTGCCACTTGAGCCTCAGCGCTGTTTCCAGCCCTTCTGCTACTTAAGAGTCATTCCTGCCTCGGCTGGCTTTGATCCTCAGCTCTTAGCCACCAGCGCTCAGCTTCTGGGGTTATTTGATGGAACCTGGGGTGCCTGTACACAGAGAAGTCATCATCAGGGCAACAAGTCTCCAAGTAACCACCGACCTGTTAACCTTAGTGAATCTGTTAGTTGACAGAATAAGAGGAAGGAAAGGAGGGGAGGGAGGACGGACGGACGGGAGGATGGACAAACCATTCAGCAATTCAGGGCTTGACTGAGTGAACTCCCAGGCACTGGCGGTAGATCATGCCTGTAATCCTCCTTACTCAAGAGGCTGAGAGGATGGAGGATTGCAGTTTGAGGCCAGCCTGGGCAGAAAAGTTTGCATGCCAGTGCAAGGTTTAAGCCCTGGTGTTGCCCCCCCCCCCAAACAAAAGTAAACTAATGATACAGAAATTATATGTAGCCAGACCCTGGTGACTCACGCCTGTCATCCTAGCTGCTCGGGAGGCTGAGATCTGAGGTTTGTGGTTCAAAGCCAGCCTGAGAAGAAAAGTCCGTGAGACTCTTATCTCCAGTGAACCACCCAAAAGAAAGCTAGAAGTGGCGCTGTGGCTCAGGTGTAGAGCGCTCGCCTTGAGTAAAATAAGCTCAGAGACAGTGCCCAGTCCTGGAGTTCAAACCCCAGGAGCAGAAAAAAAAATGATATACAGGCTGGAAAAAAGCTAAAAGACCCCGTATAGTTCCCTATGTGTGGGTGGGAGAATGCTGATTGTCCAAGTAAAAAAGAACAGACACTAGAGTCCTGTGACTGCCAGAAGCAAAGAAGTTACGATAAATTAAAAATGAGAAGCCCCTCTCATTTCAATATTAATAACCACGATGATCTGAAATCTGCAATATCCATTTGGCGTTGGTGGGTGCAGTCCAGGCTGGTCTCGAAGCCAGGATCCTCCTGCCTCGGACTCCCAAGGGCAGGGATTATAGGGATGTACCACCATGCTTGGCAGAAGTTTCACTCCAGCTTGGAGTTGCAGGAACAGGTTTGATGTTCAGTCTCTGTGTATTCGGTGTTTGGTTGATGGCATATAATTTACAAGTCCATTTTTTTTTTTTTGGTCTCTTTCTAGAAGCAGGCTTGCACCTGACCCGCCATGACGTCACCCACGGAATTCACAGTGAGTACAAGCGGTGCCTGCAGTCACCTCAGAAAAACCCGCGCGCTCCCTCCCTCCGCAGGCCTCCCTGCCCGCCCGGCCCGAGGAGGGGCTCCCCGCGGGGGAAGGGGGTGCGTCGGCCTGCGGGGAAATGAGGAGGATCCCAAGCGCCGTAGGAGCTTTGGCTGGGACGGTCTTGGTTCTTCCTGTCTCTTCTGAACCCCCGGCAAAAGAGCCCCAGAGAGACGCGTTCACCTTGCGTAGATGTGTCGGGGCTGGGGCCGGAACCCAGCACCTGCTTCCCGCGCGGCTGGCCTCCCACCGCAGAGGCCGCCGCGTCACCTGCCGGCCTAGGGTCCCCCTACACCCCCAAAAAGAAAAGGGCTGTCTGCTTAGAGAGTTGGGTTTGGGCCGCTCCCACCCGGCCCGGGCCTGGCGGGGACAGACGGGCGGACAGGAGGCGGGATCCCGGGGCTGGCTGGGGTTGGGGCGGGGGGGGGGGGGCCTGGCCTGACGCCCGCCCCCCGCAGAGCCCGACCCCCCCTCTGCCCGGTGACGACGGCTACGACCCCACGCTGTCGGCGGACGACTACGCGGGCCTGGACCTGGCGGACGTCTTCTGCGACCAGAGCTGGGCGCGGCGCGCGGCGGGGCGCGTGCTGCCGCCGCTGTACGCGCTGGCCTTCGCGCTGGGCGCCGCGGGCCACGCGCTGGCGCTGCTGGCGCTGCGGGCCCGCGCGCGCGCCCGCCCCGCCGCGCGCCCCGCCACCGACGTGCTGCTGGCCAACCTGGCGGCCGCCGACCTGCTGCTGCTGGCCACGCTGCCGCTGTGGGCGGCGGCGGCGGCGGCGGGGCGCTGGCCGCTGCCCGCCGCGCTCTGCCGCCTGGCGCGCGCCGCCTACGCGCTCAACCTGTACGGCTGCACGCTGCTGCTGGCCGGCGTCAGCGCGCAGCGCTACCTGGCCGTGGCGCGCGCCGCGCATGCGCGCGCCGGGCCCCGCGGCCGCCTGCGCCGCGGCCGCGCCGCCTGCGCCGCCGCCTGGCTGGCCGCCGCGCTGCTCTGCCTGCCCGAGCTGCTCTACAGCCGCGCCCGCGGCCCGCCCGGCCGCGCCGTGTGCACCGCCGTCTACCCCGGCGACGACGCGCCGGGCCTCAAGTCGGCCGTGCTGACCCTCAAGGTCCTGCTGGGCTTCGTCCTCCCCACGGCCGTCGTGGCGGCCTGCTACGCCCTGGTCATCCGCGCGCTACTGCGCGCGCGGCGGGGCCGCCGGCGCCGCGCCCTCAAGCTGGCGGCGGCCGTGCTCACGGCCTTCGTCCTGTCGCGGCTGCCCTACAGCTGCCTGTTGCTGCTGCAGGCGGCCGGCGCCGCCGCGCACGCGCACGCCGCGCCCGACGCCGCGCCCGCGCACGCGCCCGCCGCGCTCCTGCCCGGCTGCGCCGCGGCCGCGCGCCTGGAGCTGGCGCTGCAGCTGGCGCAGGCGGCCGCGCTGCTGCACAGCGGCCTCAACCCCCTGCTCTACGTGTTCGCCGGCCAGCGCTTCCGCCGCGACCTGGCCGCCGCGCTGCGGCGCTGCGGCTGCGCCCGCCCGGCCCGCCCGGCCCGCGGCGCCAGGCTGTCCTCCACGCTGCTGGAGACCACCTCGGGGGCCCGGTCCCTCTGAGCGGCGCCCGGCCCGGCCCCGGCCGCCGACAGACCAGAGAGGATCCCGGGGAGGCGGCTGGGTGCACAGTGCTCCGGGCTCGAGTCCTCGGCCCCACAGACAGAGACAGCCCGAAGCGGCGCTGTGGCTCACGCGGTGCCCAGGCCCCGAGCTCAAACCCCGGGACTGGGGGAAAGACTCGGGGGAGCCGGCCCGCCAGGCCTGGTGCGCGTGCGCAGCGCCTCTTGCTTAGCTTTTTTGCCGCTGGGTCCTCTCCCCCGCCGCCTTTTTGGCGGTTGATTGGCGAGGAGTCGCCCGTCCCGCCGTCATCCCGGGCTGGGGGCCGAGGACCGCGGTTCGAGGCCAGCCCGGGCGGGGACGTGCGCGCGACTCTGACCTCCCGTGAGCGCCGGCCCCGGCCCGCGCCATCCTCCCGTGAGACCGGGGCCGCCGCGCCCGGAACCCCCGGCCTCCTCTGGACCGCCAAGCAGCCGCCAAGCCGGGAACAGCCGAGCCGCGCCTCCGCCTCTGCCCCCAACGAGGGGACGGGACGCGGCAGGAGAGCCGAGAAAGGACACCGCGCACAGCCTTCTTTTTTATGGGTCCGGTCGTGGGCCTGAACTCTGGGCCTGGGCGCTGTCCCTCAGCTCTTCAGCTCAAGGCGAGCACTCTACCACTTGAGCCACAGCGCCGCTTCCGGCTTTTTTCTTTCTGCTTATGTGGTGCTGAGGAATCGAACCCAGGGCCTCAGGCATGCTGAGCCACCTCCCCAGCCCCCAGTGCCTTCTTTTGTGCTTGTGTCTCTCCTCAAACCGTGGTGCAAACTGACCACACGGGAATCGTAGTGGAAAACGCTCGTGGCTGCGCCGGCTGGGTGGTGAAGAGCCTGCAGTCACAGAGCAGACGGACAGACAACCATCCGCGGAGAGAGCAGGCGCGAATCAGGAAGTCAAGATGCGATGCGCGCGCACCTGCGCGACCGCGGCCCGGCCCTCCCCCCGCCCTCCCCCCAGGCCTCCCCCCCTTCCCACCCTGAACTCGGCCTGGGCGCTGCCCTCAGCTCTTCACCGCGAGGCAGGCGCTCCACCACTTGAGCCACAGCCACATCCGGGTTCCTGGTGGTTCCTGGGAGCTCAGTCTCAGACTTTCCTGCCCAGGCTGGCCTCGAACCGCGATCCTCAGATCTCAGCCTCCTGAGTAGCTAAGCTGACAGGCCTGAGCCACGGGTGCCTGGCTAGATGTTCTCTTCTGCCCCGGGGTGGGTGTCGTGGCCAGCACCGGGGGCCTTGGCTATGACCAGAGTGGTGAAGCAGAGTCTCATGTTACTTGGGAGGCCTTTACAGCCCCATAGCCGTGGTCTGGGGAGCACAGCCATTTCACCAAGGGTGACTGTGCGTCGCGCCGTTCCTCACAGCGGCCTGGCTAGCTTCATCATGAGATCTGCTATCCGGTTGGTTACACTTACGTCTAGGCCATTGGGGGGAGTCTGAGATTTGAACTCGGTACCTGATGCTTTCACGCACTGGCTAGTGCTCTACCAAGTGAGCCACACTTCCAACCTGGTGTTTTTTCAGCTAACCACCACCGGGCTGGCGTCCTTGGTCTTGGTTCTGGCTGCTGGTTTGCTTTGGTGGTGGTAACGGGTTGGCATGCAGGGCCTCATCCTCCCTTAGCTTGTCCACTCCAGGCTGGTGCCCTGCCCCTTGAGCCATACCTTCCTTTTCTGGCTTTTTGCTGGTTAATGGGAGATTCTGTCTGCCTGGGCTTGGAACCACAATGGCTACTCAGTCCCCGCCCAAGTGGTCCGACCTGAGCTGCTCGCGTGTAGAGCTTGGCCAAGCGATCCCGCAGGCTCCCTGTGACGGGAGCAGGCGTGGCCCTGCGGCCTCCGCGTGGGGGCTGGGGTGCAACGGGGTCACAGGCCGGCTCACCCCACGCTGCTGCAGGAGGGGCAACTTTCAACCCTAACACACGGGCCGTGCGCACCCTTCACCGCTGTGACGCTCCCCGAGTGTGGGGGGTGCTCGCTGTGTGCGGCCACAGCCCCACGGTGGAGACTCACACGGCCTCTCCTGCCCGGCCGGGCTCTCGGGAGGACAGGCGGCGCCCCCGAGTTTGGTGGCATGGTGGGGGTGGGTCATCAGGTAGGTGTGGGGGAGCCGCGGGGCTGGGTCCCCCCACTCCCCTTCCCCGCCAGGCCCTGCCCCCCGGCCCCGCCCCCTGCCCCCCGCCCGGCCCCGCCCCCTGACCACCTGCCCGGCCCCGCCCCCTGCCCCCGGCCCCCCCCCCCCCCGCCCCCTCCCGTCAAGGCGCCGCCGCCTCGTGGTCGTAGTGCTCACGTTTATTGAAACCCTGAGGTCAGACACCGTCCCGCCGGCCGGGCCGTGTGCGGGTTCTTTGGCAGAGGGGGCCGGCCTCCCAGGCCGGGGGGTGGGGGGGGGGGGTAAAGTGCGTTCTAGTGGCGGGCGGGGCCGTAGTGTGAGGGACAAAGTGCCTCGGCGCATGCGCGCACGTGTGAGGGGGGGGGAATCGATCTCGCGGCGCCCGGGCGGGGGCGGGGCGCCTCCCTCCGCCTCTCTCCCACGTGGCCCGCGGCCCGGAGCTGGGCGCGCGGCCCGGGCGGCCTAGGGCCCGTCGCTGCCGTCGTAGATGACGGGCCGCTCCACCGTCAGGCGGTAGAACACCTTTTTGGAGACGAACCTGCGGAGGCGAAGGGTGCGCGGCGTGGGCCGGGGCCGGCGGGGAGGAGGAGCTCCCCGCACCCCCTCCCCGGCCCCCGCACCCCCTCCCCGGCCCCCCGCGCACCTGGAGAAGGTGTTGTCGAAGATGAGCATGTAGAGGCCGCGCGTGCGCGCCTTGAGCTGCCCGCGGATGTTCTCGCGGTGCGAGTTGCAGCGCGTGGTGGGGATGAGCACCTGGGGGGGGAGGCGGAGGGGGAGGGGGTGACGCGGGGACCCACGCGGGGGGGGGAGGGGGAGGGGGTGACGCGGGGACCCACGCGGGGGGAGCGGGAGCCCCCCCCCCCCCCGGCGCGCGCGCACCTTGCACTGGTCGAGCGGCGTGTCCTCGGCCTGGCGGAAGACCACGCTGAAGGAGATGCTCTTGGGGTCGGAGGAGAAGACCCAGCCGATGGTGAGGCCGGGCTCGGGCACGCGGATGAGCAGCAGGCTGTAGCAGCTCGAGCGCACGAACAGCTCGCGCCGCGCCTCGCCGAAGCGCGCGATCTCCTCCACCGACAGCGCCAGCCGCAGCCTGGGGGAGGGGGGGGGGCCGTCACCACCCCCCCCCCACACACCCCCCACCCACAACCCCCCATCCACACCCCCCCACCCACAACCCCCCATCCACACCCCCCCACCCACAACCCTCCATCCACCCACACCCCCCCATCCACACACCTCCCCCACCCACAACCCCCCACCCACACCCCCCCCACCCACACCCCCCCCACCCACACCCCCCCATCCACCACCCCCCATCCACACGCCCCACCCACACCCCATCCACACCCCCCCACCCACACCCCATCCACACCCCCCCCACCCACAACCCCCCCATCCACACACACCCCCCACCCACAACCCCCCCACCCACACCCCCCCATCCACACACACCCCATCCACACCCCCCCATCCACACACCCCCCCACCCACAACCCCCCCCACCCACAACCCCCCATCCACACCCCCCCATCCACACACGCGCGCGCACAGCCCCCCCCCCCCCCCCACGCCACCTACATGAGCTCCCCGGACTTGAGCAGGCAGATCTCGGCGTCCTGGCCCCCGGGCTCGTCCTTGCTGTCGTCGGGCGTCAGCGAACTGGACGGGGGGTCTCTGCAGGGACACGAGCGAGCGCGGGCGGTCAGGCAGCGTCCAGCTGGGCCTCGGGGCCCCAGGAAACCTCCATAGACAGCCCGACTTGACTGTTCCCGTGCGAGAGTGTCACCGCACCCCAGGCCTTCACAGATGGAGACCCGGGCCCTCCCCCACCCGCTGTCTTTGCAAGGTGGGTTCAGCCCCGTTAGCCAGCACGAACAGCTGCAAGTGGAGCTGTGGCCTAAGCAGAGTGCAAGCCCTGCTGCGCGCTTGCCCACCACGACCGCCCGTCCTCAGCGGAGGGGCAGGTAGGCAGACGGCATGGCCGCACGCGGGCTGCCTGCGCGTCTCCTGCCATGTGTGAAGCTGGAATAGGGCTGGACACTGTGGCTCCCGCCTGTCATCCCAGCGGCTCACGAGGCTGAGGTCTGAGGATGGCGGTTCAAAGCCAGCCTGGGCGGGAGTGTCTGAGACTCTTCTCTCCAATGAGCCACCAAAAAGCCACAAGGGGAGCTGTGGCTCTCGAGTGGTAGCCCTGGGCTAATGCCAAGCCAAGAGCAGAGGACCCGAGGTCAAACCCCGGCACATGAAGTGAGAGCTCCCTTCGCAATGCATCTGCAAACCGTGCGCCACGTAAGACCAAGTGCCAACAGCTGCTACAAGAATGCACGCCCCCGAGGTGCTTGCTCAGCTTTCACAGGGCGCACGCGTGTGCCACGGGAGCCCTGTACCACGTTGGTGGGGGAGGACTCCAGCTTGCCCAAGTCTGAGGAGGAGCCACGCAGGGAGCGCATGCATGTGGCCACCAGGTGGCGCCCTGAGGACGCCATCGAGGTCGAGGCCCGCCTGGCCTCCGCAGCCCCTGAGCCTGGCGCGCGCGGGCGCCCTGCGCTCCGGGGACGGACCTGGCTGGGGCGAGCCCTCGGCTCTTTCCTTCTGCTTGTGGAGAGCCGGGGTTACAGGTGGGCTCTGCAATGCCCGCGTCTGCCTTGCTGGCTCAGGACTCCTCAGCCGCAGCACCTGCGGACGTTCCTCCCCGGGGCGGGGCGGGGGGGGGGGCCTCTACCTCGCCCCCCCTCTGCCGAGCCCCGTCCATTCCCACGGTGCTGCACTGCCCAGCGCCCTGCCACAGGCCACGTGCGGCCTCCCAAGCGGGTAGGGGTCACCTTGTGCGCGAGCCCCAGAACACGCCCACCCCGGAAGAAGGTTCTAGAAGCCAGTGAGGAGCTGAAGGCGGGCCTGAGAAACGCGCCCACCGGGATGCAGGTTTTCTCTTTGCTCTCCCGCGTCCTATTCCCTCAGCGTGATCGGTCCCCTCCCGGCCATTTTTCCTCTGGCTATAGCGGTGGTGGGCGGCTCACGGGGCAGAGGCGCCCGGCCTCCAGCAAAGACTCACCGTGCCCGAGCTCAAGCCCAGGACGGCGCTACTTGAGATGACGTAATGCTTTTGATTAGGTGCATTGTAGATAAATGTGTCACTCCGTGATGAGTGCTGGGGTCTTGGCAGGAATGACGTGGCCGTGGCGGTGGCCCGACGGCACATAAGCCTGCAGTCCATCTGCACGGCCCGCAGGGGGCGCCCCTGAGCAGCCATGCCTGCCTGCCCGGGCTGCTTCCCCGGGAGCTCATCCTCCATCCACCCATCCGCCCCGGGGCCTGCAAGCGCCCCTGCCCGCCCTGCCCGGAGGGAGGACGTGAGGCGGCCAGCAAAGAAGAGCAGGGGACACAGCCGGACCGCTCCAGCTCAGGCCTGGCCCGGCCCGGCGGCGCACGCGCACGCGCCATCCTGGCTACGCAGGAGGCTGAGATCGGAGGCTCGCGATCCGAGGCCGCACGGGCAGGAAGGCCCGTGCAGAGCTCATCCCACGAAGCTGGAAGCGGGCCCTCCCCAGCGCCCTGGGCGGGGCCTGCGGGATGGGGGAGGAGGGCACCTGCCCAGGACGCTTAAACGTTCGGAGGAAACCCCGACCACAACAGAGAAGGGAGCCAGCCTGCCTCTGCACGGACGCCCCGGTGCAGGTGAGTCTGCCCCCGAGCCCGGCACCAATGCTCGCCTGACCTTAGAGCCGTGTGGCCGCACGTGCACAGGAAGCACTGGGAGCTGAGGAGGCGGTCAGCAACGGGGTGCTCAGCTGAGATCGGGAAGGAGGGGGAGTCTAGGCTCGGGCTAGACTTGTTAACCCTAGCCCTGCCTTTCTTTTGCATTTTATACAATCCTTCTGTTATTGCTTTTTTTCTTTTGTCTGTCGTGGGTCTTGAACTCTGGGCTGGGCACTGTCCCTGAGCTGTTCAACTCAAGGTGAGCGCTCTACAATTTGAGCCACAGCGCCACTTCTGGTTTTCTGGTGGTTTCTTGGAAAGTCTCATGGACTTTCCTGCCTGGGCTGGCTTTGAACTGTGATCCTCAGCTCTCAGCCTCCTGAGTAGCTGGGATGACAGGCGTGAGCCACTGGTGCCTGGCTGTTTAAATCAATCTGCCACTGTAGAACCATGGAAAACATAAGAAAATAGAGAGGAATGGGGCTGGGCAGGTGGCTCAGTGGTAAAGCGCTCGCCTTGCATGCATGAGAGAGAGGGAGGGAGAGGGGAAGTAATTCCACCAGCCACAGGCCAGCAGCTTATGACGTTTGGTAGGCACAATCATAAAAAGCTGTTTTGCACCAGTCCTGGGGGGGGGGGGGGGCACTGTTCCCCAGATGCTTTTGCTCAGCCACAGCTCCACTTTTGGCTTTTTTGATTATGATGAGTGGATCTGAGTCTCAGACTTTCTTGCCTGAGCTGGCTTTGAACTGTGATCCTCACAAGTCACAGCCTCCTGAGTTACTAGGATGACAAGTGTGAGCCACTGGCACCCAGCTGAAATTCCTTTTTTTTGGTTGGTTGTGGGGCCTGAACTCTGGGCCTGGGCGCTGTCCCTCAGCTCTTCAGCTCAAGGCTAGCGCTCTACCACTTGAGCCACAGCGCCACTTCCGGCTTTTTCTGCTTATGTGGTGCTGAGGAATCGAACCCAGGGCCTCATGCATGCAAGGCAAGCACTCTACCACTGAGCCACCTTCCCAGCCCAGAGGTCCTAATGTTTAAAACTCTTAACTGCACAGACACGTTCAGCCCCAACCTCCCAACAATAATTCTTACAATGGATCTTTATATTGCTGCCCTCCTCTTATTTTTGTCAGTACTGGGACTTGAACTCGGGGCCTGGCATCCTCTTAGCTGTTCTTACTCAACACTAGCATCCACCCCTTGAGCTACAGCCCCACTCTGGCTGGGTGGTAGTTGGATTGGAGGTAAGAGTCGCGGACTTTTCCTGCCTGGGCGGGCTCTGCACTGTGCGCCTCAGGCCTCAGCCTCCCGAGAGCGGCCTGTGCCTGGTCAGTGCCTGTCCGGGGGAAACCAGCACAGCAGTGGCCGGCAGCGCCGGGAGGCGGGGCTGCAGCGCGGGGGCGTGGCAGCTGCTTTGGGGCGGGGCCAGCAGCGCCGGGGTGGGGCCGGGGCTTTGGGGCGGGGCCGGCAGCGCCGGGGTGGGGCCGGGGCTTTGGGGGCGGGGCCAGCCGCGCCGGGGGCGGGGCAGCAGAGCGAGCAGGCGCAGCCCACACAACTCGGAAGAAAAGCCAAGTTGCTCGCGCCGTGTTTTCAGCGCTTTCCTGTGAACACAGCCCCAGCAGCTCTGACCTACTTCCTCAGCCTGGCTGGCACGCCTATCGCGATCGCAGATCTAATGTGGTCGAGTGGCGGGGCTGTTTACTGGGTCCTTCCACAGGGGCAAGGCGGCGCTTCCTTCCTGGGGGGGGGGGGGGGCAGGTCCCTGCTGGGTGTCAGCAAGAGCAGGGAGTGCGGGCGGGACTTGAACTCGGGTCACGGCGGTGGGCGGGCTGGGCTTCCGTGTGGGAACGGAGCCCGGGGCCGGGAGGCATCTACCTGGGCGGGGCTCCTGAGAACCCCGGAGCGGTCCGCGAAGGAGGCCAGGATCGGCGGAGGCGGGTGCCCCGGCGGTGGAGACCCACGCTGCGCGCCCACCTGGCTGTTGGGGATTTTCTGGGGTCCCTCGGTGTGTGTGGGGGGGGGGGACGGGGAGGCCCTGGGAATCAGCAGGGCGGTTACTGCGCCAGGATGGGGTGGCCGTCGGCCCGTCCACGGGCGGCCCCCCACACCCCCCCGCGGGGTCTTCTCCCGCAGGAGCGTGCGTGCGTGCGCGCGTGTCAGCATGATGGCCACCACGGAGGACGAGTACCAGGACCCCGGCTTGTTCGGGCCGCCGGGCGGCGGCGGCGGCAGGGAGGCCCACGAGCGCCTCGCGGCCTTCCGGAGGGCCTTCCTGCCCGCCGTGTACCTGGCCGTGTTCGCCTGCGGCCTGGTGGGCAACGCGCTGGCGCTGGCGGTGTACGCGCGCTCGCGGGCGTGGAGGAGCCTGGCCGACCTGCTGCTGGCCAACCTGCCGCTGGCCGACCTGCTGCTCGTGAGCACGCTGCCCTTCTGGGCCTACGCCGGCCTCCACGAGTGGGTCTTCGGCCAGGGCCTGTGCAAGGCGCTGCAGGGGCTCTACGCCGCCAGCCTGTACGCGTCCATGCTCACGCTCACGGGCATCACGGTGGACCGCTGCGTGGTGGTGGCCTGGGCCACGCAGGCCCGCGCCCGCGCGGCGCGCTGGGCGGCGTGGGGCGGCGGCGCGTGCGCGCTCGCCTGGGCCTGCGCGCTGCTGCTGGCGCTGCCGCACGCCATCTACGGCCGCGCGCAGCGGCTCGACCGGCTGGTGTGCCACTACCAGCACGAGCGCGCGGCCACCGCCGCGCTGGCCGCGCAGGCCGCGCTGGGCTTCTTCCTGCCGCTGCTCGCCATGCTGGTGTGCTACCCGCTGCTCCTCCGGACGCTGTGCCGGGCCCGCGGCCTGCGCAGACACAAGTCCCTCCGCATCATCGCCCTGGCCGTGGCGGTGTTCGTGCTCACCCAGACGCCCTACACCCTGGCCAGGCTCGTCCAGGCCGCCAACTGGGAGCTGGCCGCCACGCCCGGCTTCAGCCTCGGCCTGGTCGTGGCCGAGGCCCTGGCCTACCTGCGGGTGGGCCTCAACCCCGTGCTCTACGCCTTCGTGGGCCTCAAGTTCCGCAAGAACCTCCAGAAACTTCTCAGGGATATGGGCTGCCACCCCCCCTGGGGGGCGGCGACCCAATGCAGGTCCTCAGAGGACAACTCCAAGACCGCGTCCGCCTCGCCCCACGCCGAGGCCACCAGCACCTTCCCGCTGTAGGCCCACGGGGCACGCGAGGGGGCACGCGACCTGGGTTTCATGGAAAGCAAATAAGACGCTCTGGTGGGCGGCGACGCTCCTGACATGAACATGCCCTGGTCTCTTCCGACCACCTGGGACTACGGGGCGGGGGGGGGGGGGGGGGGGGTGAGGGGGGGGCGAGGGGGGCTGGGTTTTTTAGGGACTTTCCCTCCGCGTTCCCCAGATGCTGGCTGGGCTTTGATCTGTGCCCGGAGAGGTGCGATCATTCACTGATTGTCAATGGGCCACAAAATACGCAGAGCTGGGTGAGATGCTCGGAAAATGTGTACCCGATGGTAAAAAAAAAAAAAAAAAAAAATGGCATTTTTGGAGTGAACTCTGGTGGCTTTGCTCATCTCCAATAGCCAGTGCTTTCCCCGCACACCTGCCTATGGAACCACTCCCGCATCAGACAGTATATAAATGTCATGACTACGAAAATAAAACCTGGAGGCCGTTTCCCTGAACTATACACGGACACTGACTGCTCGGCTTGGTGTACAGAGTATGAGCTCAGCCCGGTGGCTTCTGCCTCTCATCCTCGCTACTCAGGAGGCTGAGATCTGAGGATCACGGTTTGAAGCCAGCCTGGGCAGGAAAGTCCATGAGACTTATCCAATGAACCACCTGAAAAATGGAAGTGGCGCTGTGGCCCAAGTGGCAGAGCGCCAGCCTTGAGCTGAAGAGCTGAGGGACAGCGCCCAGGCCCAGAGTTCAAGCCCCCCCCCACTCCCCCCCACACCAGCAGTAACCCGGGTCTTCTCGCGGTAACCAAGGCTACACCGGGCGCCCCCTCCAACTCTCCAAACGAGCGGAGACTTGGCCTGGCCGGCAGAGCGCGCACGCGCAGAGGGCTGCACGCGCGTGCCTGCCCACTCGCGACGCGCTCCGCGGCAGCGCTCGCAAGCCAAGCCGCCCACACGGCCCTCTCCAGCCTTCACCACGGCCCCACACCCTGCTCGTGTTCTGCTTCTCGGGTAGCAGGTGGTAGCCGTGCCAGCTGGCAACGCCAGCTGCTCCGAGCACCCTGAGCGCGAGGCTCTGCCGGCGAGTGGGCTCTGGGTGCGAGTTGCAGCCGGGGTAAAAAAGTACCCAGACACACAGGGCACCCCATGTGCACCCCAACAGTACAACTCGACATGAAGGCTGCCGCCGCCAAAGCATCAACCCTTGCTGGTCTCTGACTCGGGAGCAAAGAGCTGCCTGGCGCGGGGGCAGCTGGAGAGCCAGGGCAACCTAGAAAGTTCTGCGCGCGCAGCGCGCGTGTGTGTGTGAGGATACTGTTGCTGGAACTCAGGACCTGGACGCTGTCCCTTAGTTTTTTTGCTCAAGGTTGGGGCTCTACCACTTGGGCCACTGCTCCCTTTCTGGCTTTTTGCTGGCTAGTTGGAGGAAAGAGTCTCACGGACTTTCCCGACCAAGCTGGCTTTGAACCAGGGTCCTCAGCTCTCAGCCTCCTGAGCAGCTGGGATTACAGGCGTGAGCCGCTGCTCACTCAAGGATCGATACCAAGAACTACCGCTGCTCACTCAAGGATCGATACCAAGAACTAAACAAATCCAAGGAAGAAATCGGCCCGTTCACTGCACAGCCAAGTGCTCCAAAGAAGCACAAATGGCCACACACACACACGCATGCACACACACACACACGACATCCTTTGCCACAGAGGAAATGCAAATCCATCTCACCCCAGCCAAGAATGTCATCAAGAAAACAACAAGGGCTGGTCGGGGAGGTGGGGAGGAAGAAAGGCAGGTAGGAAGAGCAACTGACCCCAACGCGGTGGAAATCAGTATGGTCACGGAACCCTAAGCACCATGCCTGATGGCCTCTAATGGGATCGGAGCTGTGTCCTCAGAAGATGGGTACAGGAAGACCTGGAAGCGCGGCGCAGGCCGCTCTGCGTGCGCTGGGCACGCGGCCGGCGGCCTGGGCTCGGCTCGGCTCTGAGTGCCGGGCAGCAGCTCCGCCAGGGCCCCACCCCGCTCTAGGACCCCGGATGTCTTGAGCGTCCTGGTCTCTGATGCGCGTGCGCAGGGACAGGCCGTGTCCACGGCGCCCCCAACACGGGAGACGCATACTCACTGTTCAGCCACGCCTGGGTCGGGAGACTCGGTTTCAGTGGGAGTTTCGGGCAGGGAGGAGCCCGACTCCTGGATCTGACACAGCTCCTCGTCCGTGATGATGTCGAACACCGCGTCGTCCGGGGACCTGCAGTCAGCCGCGGCCCCTGGGTGGCAGGAGCGGAGAGATACGACCGTCACTCTCACCAACGGCGCCCCTGCCCAGGGCGAGGAATGGCCACTGGGCACATTCTAGAAAAGCACGGGGAGCCTGAGAGAGAGGCTTCTCAGAGCCGGGGAGAGGTTTCTCGCTCATGTCCGTTCTCTGGGCTGTGTTTAGAGGGGAAGACCTGTCTGAAAGCAGCAGCACGGGCCACACACGCCCGTGCCACCGAGTCCTGGCTCTGGGCAGCCCAGGCCGAACCCTGCTCCTGCCCCAGGAGGCTGAGATCGGAGGATCGAGGTTCAAAGCCAGCCCAGGCAGGAAAGTCCGTGAGACTCATCTCCAATAAACCACTCAGAAAACCAGAAGTGGCGCTGTGGCTCAAGTGGTAGAGCGCCCGCCTTGAGCTGAAGAGCTGAGGGACAGCGCCCAGGCCCAGAGTCCAGGCCCCACGATCAAGAAAAAAGATCTGAAGACCTGGGAGACTCCCGGGCAGCCTCCCACACCGTGTTTGCTTGTCTGCCAAGAGGAATGGCATTTCTGGAGGTGGCCGGCCGGCATCCCGGGCGCGGCCGAGCTCACAGGGACTGCCTGGATACCGGGTGCTTGCTTCCTTTCACGAGGCGAGGGGCAGGGCTGGCGGCGCGCGCGCTCCCCGCGCAGTGAGCATGCGCGAGGTGGCACTGCCCATCTGGGGGAGGCCCTGGGGCACGCGCGAGGGGACTCATCGGGGACCCACCACGCCCCGAGGCATCGGGACCAGCCAGCCAGCCCCCCTCAAGCTGAGTCAGGAAGTCTCGGATTGGTGGGAGCTCCCCCCGATCCCGAGAACACGAAGGTGGGTCCAGGGGTGCGTGCGAGAGGGAGCACGGGGCGTGGGACCGACCTGGGCCCTGGGTGGCCGGCGGCGCGGTCTGCGCGGGGGAGCGCGCGGGGCTGGCCTCGCCCTGGCTCGCGCCGGAGCCGGCGCTGCCGGGGGAGCTGGGCCCGTCGCCGCACTTCTGGAAGCAGGCTCGGCAGCAGCGCTCCTTCCTGCCACCGGGCTTGGGCAGCACGTAGTTGTTGCAGCAGTAGTAACAGAAGGCGCGCCCGCAGATCCTGGAACAGAGGATGCCCGCAAGTGAGCGCGCACGCGCGAGGCGGGGCGCGGGGGGGGGGGGGGGGGGGGGGGGGGCGCGCGGGCGCACGCGCATGCGCCTGACCTGCAGTGGTGGCGGCGCACCATCCAGCCGAACTCGCGCCTGCAGTCGTGGCAGTGGGTCGCCTCCGCGTCCCCCACGCACCGCTCCTCGGCGCTGAGCTTCTGCTGGAACTCCAGGGCGTCCGACTTCTGCCACAGCGCGTCCTTGTCCCTGGGGCAGAAGCACAGGGAATCGGTGCGCCCCGCCGAGCACGGCCGCCAGAGCCCCCCAGAGCCCCCCAGTGCCCCCCAGAGCCCCCCAGAGCCCCCGCCGAGCACGGCCCCCAGAGCCCCCCAGAGCCCCCCAGAGCCCCCGCCGCCCCGCCACGCCACGCCAGGGCTCCTGCTGCCACGGGGCGGGGTGTGTGTGTGTGTGTGTGTGTGTGTGTGTGTGTGTGTGTGAGTGTGAGTGTGTGCACACGCAGGGGATGCTGGGACCTGCACGCAGAGCTGTCGTGCAAGAAGTTGCCCGCACCCACCATCCACGCGCACAGGGGGACCAGGCGCCGGTGGCTCAGGCCTGTCAGCTCAGGAGGCTGAGATCGGAGGATGGCGGTTCAAAGCCAGCCCGGGCAGGAAAGTCTATGAGACTCTGATCTCTAATAAACCACGCAGAAAACTGGAAGTGGCGCTGTGGTTCAAGGGGTAGAGCCCTTGCCTTGAGCTGAAGAGCTGAGGGACAACGCCCAGGCCCAGAGTTCAAAAAAAAAAAAAGCCGCACAGACGTCCCTGCCTGGGCTGGCTTTGAACCAAGATCCTCCAGACCTCAGTCTCCTGCGTTGCTGGAATTGTAAAGTAAGAGCCACCCCTGTCCAACACAACCTTTGAAAGCAACTAATCACATAGCAGAGCATGAAATCCCCAGGCCAGGTCCACAACCAGCTAGCAGTCCGGCCTTCTAGAGTGCTCGATCCCAGGATTGTGTGGGCCTCAGGAAGGACACGCGGGTGGACAGACATGAGGAGACTGGCTGGCTGCCTGCTGGCCGGGCCGGCCCTCACCTGAGCAGCTCTATGAGCCTCTCCTCCAGGTACTTCTTCGTTCGGTTCAGGTCGTCCAGGTCGGCGAGCAGCTTCTGGTCGTTCCTCTCCCGGTCGGTCACCTCTTGGCAGAGTTTGGTGTAATACTCTTGGATTTTTGCTGAGGCTTTGGTCAGCTCCTTCTGTGTTCTGGGCAGGAGGGGGGAGGGATTGATATCATCCGATCGGCTATGGGGCTCCCCTTTCTTGGGGGGTTCACCTAGACTCTCAGCAAAGTGTCCCCCTGACTTTGGAACTCAGGCCCTGGGTGCTGTTCCTGAGCTTGGTTGCTCAAGGCTGCCGTTCTACCACCTGAGCCACACTTTGGGTTTTTGGTTTGTTTTTTGGTTGGTGGTGGCTCATTGGAAATAAGACTTAGACCGACGTTCCTGCCTGGGCTTGGCCACCAACTGCGATCCTCAGATCTCAGCCTCCCGAGTAGCGTGAGCCTGGGGAAGGACTCACCGGTCTAGCTGCTCGTGCAGGGCGGCCGCCTCCTGCTCCTTCTGCAGCGCGCAGGCCTGGCACTCGGCTAGGCGGCTGCTGGTGCAGCTCAGCTTCTCCTCCATGGCTGCTTGCGAAGCCTGGCATGGGACACAAGGGAGGGGACCCTCAGCTTGTCCACGCCTGCCCGAGAAACCCTCAACAAGTCCTGGGATGGGACCGGCGTGGCTCCTGCGCATGCGCAGTTTGGGCTGTCAACGGGCTGGCCAAGGAAGAGCATGTCCCCACACACACACCCCCCACACACCCCCCACACCCCCGCTTCCTTTTTCCCTTGGCAGCTCCAGGGTGTCTGAACGGATGGGTCTGTGACCCCGGGAACGGGACACTGATTTGAAGCCCCCCCTGAAATGGCCCCCACAAAGCCTCCTTCCCTGGCGGGCCCGCACACAGCGACCACTGACCTTCAACTCGTCCACGGCCTCCCGGGCCGCCTGCAGCTGCTGGCCCCGCTCGTCCAGCTGTGCCCTGAGGCTCTCGCCCTCTTGGTTGGCCGTCTGGAGAATAAAGGGGGATGGTGAAAGATGGGGTTCCTTGCTCAACTCCTTAAACTGCTGTTCACCCCTCAGTTTTCTGGCTCAAGACTGGTGCCCAACTGCTTGGGCCACACCACCACCTGCAGCTTTTTGGCGGGTAACAGTGGAGAGGAGAATCTCCCTGCCCAGGCTGGCCTCAGATTAGGATCCTCAGATCGCAGCCTCCTGAGTAGGCTGGAGGACAGGTGTGAGCCGCTGGTGGCGAGCAGCCCTGAGTTCTGATTCTAGGCTAAGCTGTTGCGGGCCAGTGTTCTGTCCTTAACGCATTCCTGTAGGGAGAAATATGCTGCTGTGGGGTACCACGGCAGGATGGAATCACGGGGAGATGGGTGGAACCCGGTATTTTATTTGTTGTCAATGGTGGGGCTTGAACTCTGGGCCTGGGCACTGTCCCTCAAGCTCTTCAGCTCATGGCGAGTGCTCTACCCCTTGAGCCACAGCGCCACTTCTGGTTTTCTGGTGGTTCCTTGGGAGAGAGGAGTCTCACGGCCTTTCCTGCCCGGGGCTGGCTTTGAACTGCCATCCTCAGATCTCAGCCTCCTGAGGAGGAGCTAGGTTGATAAGCCCAACCCAGAAGTTGCAAGCCCGCTTTACCTTCAGCTGGCTTTGGTAATCCATGATCTCGGTGCTCAGCTGGAACTTGAGGGCGTCCCGCTCCTGGCGTGCGGCCTCCTGCAGGCTCTGGGCCTGCTGCTCGGCTTGAGCCAGCTGGACCTGCAGGCCAGCCAGGGAGCCGGCTGCCTCCTCGGCCCTCTTGAGCTGCTCCTGCAGACTCTCGTTCTCTTGCTGGAGGCCCACGACCTGGCTTTCCAGGCTGGCCCTCGTCCTGGCCGCTGCCTCTTTGCAGTCCTGCAGCTCCTGGGCGGTGCAGGCCAGCGCGCCCTCCACCCGCTCCTTCTCTGCCGTCAGCGCGCACACCTGGATGCCCAGCTCGGCCGTGTCGGTGTTGGCCCGGCGCAGCTGCTCCTGCAGCTCCACGTGCGCCAGCTGCGCGTCCTCGGAGCCGCCCGCCACGCGCAGCAGCTCGGCCTGCAGGGCCGCGGCCGCCTGCTCCTCCTGCCGGCCCCCTTGGGCCTCGGAGCAGTGCAGCAGCTCCTGCACGTGGGCCCGGTTCAGCGCCTCGTTCTGCTCCTTCAGCTGCTGCACCAGGGCCTTGTGCTCCTGCAGGGTGGCCTCCGTCACCATCAGCTGGCTCTGCGCCTTGTCGCGCTCGCCCAGGGCCACCCGCAGCTTGGCGTGCAGGTCGCCCACCTCGGCCTGCAGCCGCCGGGCCTCCCCTTGGTGGACCTCCAGCTGGGCCTGAGACAGCATGGCCAGCTGGACGCTGTCGCCCCGGGGCAGCTCCTCGGGGCCTTTCTGGCTGCTGAGGGTCTCGATCAGCTGGCTCTGCTGCTGGCACTGATTCTCCAGGGCCTTGCGCTCCCCGTCCCGGGACTCGGCCAGCTGCCGCCATTTCAGGGCCTCCTGGCGCAAGCGATCGCATTCCTGCTCCTTGCTCTGCAGGGCCGCCTCCTTCTCCGCCACCTGCGCCTTCATGGCCTCCTTGGCCTTCCGCACCGCCAGGAGGCTGGCCTCCATCTGGTCGCCCAGGTGGCGGATGCTGGCCTGCTCGGCCTCCAGCGAGGCCAGGGAGCCCTGGATGGCCGCCTCGCGCTGCTGCAGCGTCTGGTAGTCGGCCTGCAGGGCCTGCAGCTTGCCCTCCAGGAGCTGGTTGCGCCCGGCCATGCTCTGCAGCTCGCGCCTCAGCTCTCCATTGGCCCGCCGGAGCTGCTCCTCCTCCGCATCCCGGCCCTGTCCCTCCTCCGGGGCCTGCTGGGGACCCAGGTCCACCTTCTGGCTGAGCTGCGCCTCGTCCCGGATCCGCTGCGGCTGCTGTGGCTCCTGGTTGCTCGCGCGCATGCTCGCCTGCGCCAGCTGCGTCTCCAGAGCCCGGGCCTCTCGCTCCAGCTGCTCCTTCTCCGGGCGCTGCTGCTGCGCCTGCGCCCTGGCCGCCGCCAGCTCGGCCTCCACCGAGCGCAGGCGCACCAGCGACGCCCGCATCGCGGCGTTCTCGCCTTCCACGAGCTGGAGCTTGCCTTGCAGCTCCTGGATCTGCAGGGCCGAGTCCGGGGCGGCCGCTGAGCTGTTCTCGGCGCTGGCCAGCCGGTCTGCGAGCTGCGCCAGCAGCTGGCTCTTCTGGCCCAGCGCGTCCCGCGTCGCCCGCAGCTCCCGCGCCAGGGGTTGGAGCAGGGCCTCCCCCCGCTCGCGCGCAGAGCCGCCGTCTCCCTCCTCCTCCAGGGGCTGCAGACAGCGCAGCAGCTCCTGCATGGTGGCCTGCGTGGCCTGCGTGACCGTCCGCTGCCGCTGGAGCTCGGCCGCCAGGCCCGCCCAGGGGACCCCCTCGTGGTCCGCCTCCACCTGCGCCCCCAGGGCGGCCCGCAGCTCCTGGTTCTCCCGCTCCAGCTGCTCCAGGCGCTGCTGAAGCTGCTTCTCCCGCACCTCCAGCTGCTCCAGCTCCAGCCGCATCTCGTCAAAGCCCTCCAGCGCCTCGTTGTTTACCTGGCTGCTGAGGTCCAAGCTGGAAGCCATATCCTGAGTCTGGGGGGGGCGGGGGGGGGGGGGGGGGGGGAGGGGACAGGAACAGCAGGGACAACAAAAAGACAAGTAGCTTTTGAGATGAAGGAGCTGACCCGGCTGCTTGGAGCAGCACGATTCAAAATGCAGGGAGCCCACCCCCCACCCCCCGGCCTAGGGTGGAGTCTAACGAGCTACCCCAAGGTCTAGAACCCATTGTTCAAAGCATCGGCCCCAGGTCAGGAGCGCAGTTCAAGGCCATGAGGCCATGGGTGCGTGGGAACACCACTGAGATGTGTATTCTGCATGCCACTTTTCCATCTTGCTTCACGCAATGGATACTGGCTGCTAAACTTGAGTGTAATCATGATCCACACCGTGGTGCACCCCTGTATCATAACCACAAGTCCTGGCATACGAAGCCACAAAATGAAGACTGGCCTATTTTCTACTTTAAATGTTGCTTTAGGTTGGTTATTGTCTTTTTTTCTGAACTCTGGGCCTGGGCGCTGTCCCTCAGCTCTTCAGCTCAAGGCTAGTGCTCTACCACTTGAACCACAGCGCCACTTCCAGCTTTTTCTGCTTAAGTGGTGCTGAAAAATCGAACCCAGGGCCTCCTGCATGCAAGGCAAGCGCTCTACCACTGAGCCACCTTCCCAGCCCTTATTTATTGTCTTTAAGTGCCAGTACTGGAGCTCCAACTCGGGGCCTGGGCGCTGTCCCTGAGCTTCTGTGGCTCATAGCTAGTGTTGTACCACTTGAACCACGGCTCCCCGTCCATCCTTGCAGTGGTTAGGAGGTAAGAGCCTCATGGACCTTCCTGCCTGGGCTGGCTTCAAATCATGATGCTCCTGAACAGCGAGGGTTACAGATCTCAGCTCCTTACTGGCTGAGTGACCCATCTCCACAAAGCTTTAAAGAGCGGTGATACGTCAAATACTGCTACTTATGACTTCCTGACCTGCCCTTACACTCTGCTCACGCCTTCTCTTCCTCACAAGCGAGGATTTCAAGTGCTCCATCTCATGGAGGAGAGAGCTGAAGTTTAGACGCCCTGTTGGCAGGTGTCAGGGCCACGATTTGACTTTTCTTCACTCCATCATGCTTAATTCCAGTGTTAAACTGCTACTTTTAAGATACCCGACAAAAATCTTCTTAAAACAATTTAGATTTAAGAGCTGGGAAGGTGGCTCAGTGGTAAAGTACTTGCCTAGCATGCATGAAGCCCTGGGTTCGATTCCTCAGCACCACATACACAGAAAAAGCCAGAGGTGGTGCTGTGGCTCAAGTGGTAGAGCGCCAGGCTTGAGCAAAAGCAGCTCAGGGACAGTGCCCAGGCCCTGAGTTCAAGCCCCAGGACTGGCACCAAAAAAAACAAAAATTAGATTTCAAGGAGTCTGGTTGGATTCTCTTTGGGTGAAGAAAAAAAAACAGAAAACTAAATTCCAGAACGTGGTGGATGCAGCCCGAGGGGGATGGTCCGTGCTCTGGTCTGAGCAATGGGTATGTGCAAACGGCACCCCTGACTTGCAAATGGCACCCCTGACTTGTGAGGGGCAAGGCCGTCGCGGGGTGGTCACAATAACAAGGAAAGCCCCAGCCTTCCTGCTGTTACCTGCAAGTAGTTGCTCAGCAAACTGCTCATGCTGGAGCTTCGGCTCGGGGGTTTCCACATATAAGCAGAAGAGCTAGTGGCCAGTGTCCTCCTGTGTGGTGATAGAAGACACGTGTATGTACATACATATGTACATGTGTCTGTATGCACATGGGTTTACATACATATACACACCCATACATAATACACACAAAAACCGTGTAATCTTTGTTAGATGAGGCTGGGCACTAGTGGCTCCCGCCTGTCATCCTAGCTACTCAGGGGGCTGAGATCTGAGGATCACGGTTCAAAGCCACTCTAGGCAGGAAAGTCCATGAGACTCTCATCTCCAAGAGACCACCAGAAAACCAGAAGTGGTGCTGTGGCTCAAGTGACAAGTGCTCACCTTGAGCTGAAGAGAACAAGGACAGCGCCCAGGCCTAGCTGTAGTTCAAGGCCCACAACCAACAAAACAAGCGAACTTCTTCAGCAACCTTTTACGGGGACAAATTCTAACTTTCACCCCCTTTGCCTGAAATGCCTCCATGATGGTCGACACAATTGGGCCCACGTTCTTCCTGTGGCTCCCGCCTCCAAGTTCCTTTAGGAAATGGAAACCGTGGGGCTCGCGCGGGCTTTTCCACGGACGCGCATGGCCTGGCCCATTTGGTTCAGTCGTGGAGCCCTCAGATGCTATCTTACCTTAAACCTCAACACGTCTGTGGCACTGGCATGAGTTGTGCTGAGCAAGCACAATTACGGCGGCGCCTGTGCAATCTTCAAAACCTCAAATGTCTCTTTCCTTTTTTTTTTTTTTTTGGGGGGGGGAAGGGGTTGGTGGTGGTAGTAGAAGCAAAGGGCCGGCCTCAGAGCTCAATCCTCCTATATATGGACCTCCTGCATAGCTGTAATGATAGCTGCATACCACCCCCATGCCCAACTTGCTTTGTGGAAAAGGGGCTAATTTTCTGCCATGGCTGGAATGATTTTTTGTTGGTTTTTTGTTTTTTGGGTCCGGTCGTGGGGCCTGAACTCTGGGCCTGGGCGCTGTCCCTCAGCTCTTTAGCTCTAGTAAGCCGAGATTACAGGAGTGAGCCACTGGGCCCAGCTGTATTTTTTTTTGGGGGGGGGGTAGGTGGTGGGTCTTGAACTCTGGGCCTGGGCGCTGTCCCTTAACTCTTCAGCTCAAGGCAAGCGCTCTACCACCTGAGTCACAGCACCACTTCCGGTTTTCTGGTGGTTAACTGGAGATAAGAGTCTTATGGACTTTCCTGCCTGGGCTGGCTTTGAACCGCAATCCTCAGATCTCAGCCTCCTGGACGACTAGGATGACAGTTGTGAGCCACCGGCACCTCGTTTTGGGAGGGTATTTTGGTAAGTACCTGGCAAACGTCGGCCAGGCAGCATCTAAGTCGTAGCCTCTGGAGGCCAGGTCAAACTGAACCTCGGTCAGTTCATAGAGTTGACCCACAATGTCGGAGCTCAGCTTGGGCTTCAGAAAAGGGCTTCGTGCATAGTACCAGTCACTGTGAAGAAAAACAGAAAAGGTGTGAACAACAAGGATTTTAATAAGAGGAATAAAGAGCCGGGCGCCGGTGGCTCACATCTGTCATCCTAGCTACTCAGGAGGCTGAAATCTGAGGATCGCAGTTCAAAGCCACGCCTGAGCAGGAGAGTCTGTGAGACTTTTATCTCCAGTGAACCTCCAGAAAACCAGAAATGGCACTGTGGCTCAAGTGATAGAGCATTCACTCACCTTGAACTGAAGAGCTCAGGGACAGTGCCCAGGCCCAGAGTTCAAGCCCCACAACTGACAAAAAAAAATAAAGGAATAAAGGAAGCATGAATCTGACCAGTCAGTTAACAGGTGTTAACTCACTACAGTAAATTAACAAGAGACAAACCAGCCGATTTCATTTTTGCTGTAAATAAATAGGAGGCTCGAGTCGGCTTGCTCTTCTTGGAAAATGACTGCAGTGATCTTCACGCTTGCTCGCTTATTATTTCTATTAAATCTCTTTCCCAAAAAGCATGTGAGAAACCTTCAACCTCCAGGAGTTGCCAAGAAAAGGAAATTGTTGGGGACAGGACACTTGGTTTTTGAAGGACAAACTCATCTTCTATTCCTATCCCAGAATTCAGCAGGAGACACTGAGCTCCCTATTAAATTTCTGTTCAGCCAGACACTTAAAACCTAACGAACTTAGCCGGGCACTGGTGGCTCACGCCTGTAATCCTAGCTACTCAGGAGGCTGAGATCTGAGGATCGCGGTTCAAAGCTAGCCTGGGCAGGGGAGACCGTGAGACTCCTATCTCCAATAAACCACCAGAAAACCGGAAGTGGCGCTGTAGCTCAAGTGGTAGAGCGCTCGCCTTGAGCTGAAGAGCTAAGGGACAGTGCCTAGGTCCAGAGTTCAAGCCCCATGACCGACAAAAAAAAAAAAAAAGGTAGCATCGATGAGACTTAAGAAGCACTAGGCTGATTTTGTGGGTGCTGAAGTCCAGCTGCTTATAATGGCGAGCACCAAACATCCAAGCAAAACACCTTCCCACCACAGAGACGGGCAGCGTTTCATGACCCAAAATCCATCCAAAAGATGCCAACATGAAACACGGCCTTTTCCTGCTCGATCTTCCTTCTTTGGAGGTCAAAACTGGTTTCTTCAGGTTAAGGAGACTGCTGGTAGGGAGGGGCGAGACAGAGCTGGGGCGCGGGCAAGCACGAAGGGGTCCCGTGGGCGAGTCCCAGACCCGCAGCTCCTCATCCGCTAGCAGCTTCCCTTCCCGGGCAGGCTGCCTCGCCGCTCTCCTCCTCCCCTTCTCCTTCCCAGCTCTGCGGTGCTGCCTGACCCTGGCTGGTTGTCACCGTCTCCGGGGAACCCAGCAGTCCTGGTGGCTGCCACCTGTGTGTCCATGAGCGTGGCTGGCAGGCGGGAGAATGACCTGACCTCAGGAGCTAAGCGATCTGGCTCTCACAACCTCCCATGAAGACACATTGTGCCACTCCTCACTGAGGACGGCGGTGGGTGGGGTCAGGCCTCCACAGGCGGCTACCATGCCTGGCGCATGCGTCATCGTATCCCTGGGCGGGCCGCGCTGGGCCTTACCTGGTCACTTTAGTGTTCATGAAGCACTGCTGTAAGGTATCTGCCAGCCTCTGGTGCACCAGCGAGTAGCGGATGAAGGCTCTTCCTCTCCCCAGAGACGTCCGGAGCTGGGGAAGCAGACAGGCAGACAGGCAGGCAGGCAGGCAGGCAGGCAGACAGACAGACAGACAGACAGACAGACAGACAGACAGACAGACAGACAGAGGAAGAGCTCTAACACCTGGCCTTCTGCCCTGGAAGGGCTCAGGGCTGGGTGTGGGACATGGTTAGCACACCAGCATGTTGACAAATGTCCCTGAGACCCCCCCACATCCTTCTCCATTCTCAATCCAAGTCTCCTGGCCAAGCTGTAGGGCCAGAGACTTGGGGGGGATGGGGGAGAGGTTGTGCTGGTCCTGGGGGACTTGAACTCAGGGCCTGGGCTCTGTCCCTTAAACTTTTTCACTCGAGGCTGGCGTGCTACCATTTGAGCCACACCTCCACTTCCACCTTTTTTGGTGTGTCACTGGAGATAGTCTCACAGATTTCCCAGTCTGGGCTGGCTTCGGCCTGAGATCCTCAGCTCGCAGCCTCCTGAGCAGCTAGCGTGACAGGCCTGAGCCACCGGCATCAAGATCTAAGGGATCTTTGCGTTTGGGAGGTGGAGGCGTGGCTTGGGTGGTAGAGCGACAGCCAAGGAGCAAAAGCAAGCATCCGATAGCAAGTTTGAGTCCAATCATCTTGTTTCTTTCGGGCGAGATGGTCTGGGCCGTAGGCCTCTGGGGAACGTGGGATGTTAGCACTGATCGTACTCCAATCCGGGGAACGTGGGTCATTAGCACTGATCCTACTCCTAACATGGCCCCCTGCAGGCCCCGGCTCACCTCCGAGATGGACTTGACGAAGCGGATCCCGTCATTGGCCCCTTTCACTTTGGCCAGGCAGGCACAGAAGTAGTCCCAATAGTCTTTCTTGTGCCCCAAGAGGCTGGCCTTCTCCTTCTGGTCGAACTGGGGAGGCAACGGGGCAGAAGGAGGGAGGGAGGTCAAACCACTCTTCACCCGCCAATTCCACACACAGCAACAAGCCTTGCTTCTTAGGCATTAGCCTAGCCGAGGGGAGCCATTGATGGCCGTTGCTTGTATGCATTGGCAAGTTGGTATTGGTGTTTTGCTGGTGTGGTGTGGTTCCTTTGACTTTGGTACTGGGGCTTCGGCTCAGGGCCTCGTTCTTTCCCTTGGCTTTTTCCAGTCAGGGCTGGCACTCTACCGCCTAAGCCACAGCTCCGCTTCCAGCTCTTGGCTGGCTAATTGGAGTTACAAGTCCCATGGATTGTTCTCTCCTGGGCTGGCTTTCAACTACAGCTCTCAGATCTCAGCCTCCTGAGGAGTGAGTACTACAGCACCCAGCACAAACTGGTGTGTTCATCACAACACGAGCAGTGTTTACAAGAGGCTAGCTCTTGGGTGGGGGGTATGGCTGCGAGATTTAGGAATAACAGCTGCCCCCCGACCAAATGTCAGTCCCTGAAGGAAATTCCATGCAGGTCTGTGGAAAGCCACTGCCAAGGCTGTGAATACATGAAGAAATGCAAGCAAAGCACGCGGCGTGCAGTGTGCAAACCAGGCTCAACTTGGGTGAAGAAGGCAATGACTTGGTCCACCAGTGACTCAACTCGCCAGCAGTAATAGATGCTATCTTAATAACTAACACTCCAAACCGCAAGCAAATGTCAGCGCTGAGTCATTTCCAACCCAAACCAAAATGGGCTTCGTTAGAAACAAAAACAACAGGAAAAAAAATTATATATACATACATACATATATATATATATATATATATATATATATATATACACACATACATATATACAGTGGCGGTTGGACACCAGTGGCTCACGCCTATCCTAGCTCCTCAGGAGGCTGAGATCTGAGGATCGATCGTGGTTCAAAGCCAGCCAAGGCAGGAAAGTCCATGGGACTCTTATCTCCAATAAGCCACCAGAAAACCTGAAGCGGCGCGCTGTGGCTCAGGTGGTAGAGCGCTGGCCTTGAGCTGAAGAGCTGAGGGACAGTGCCCAGGCCCAGAGTTCAAGCCCCACCCAGAGGCTCTGCTGAGCCTTCTGAATCGCATCCTGAATGCCGTGTGGCCCCCGAAGCCTCTGCACGCCCAGCGACACTTACTTGCAGGAGATACTCGAGCTTGTAGGAAAACTTGTGCAAGCTGGTGCTGTCATCGGTGATGGGCTCTCCCACTTCCTTGAATTCGCTGCTCAGTTCGGTCACCGCATCTTTAAGACACATGGATGGGAACGCATCACTGCAGACGCAGGAGTCAGAGAAGACAGCAGGAAGATGCCAGATGCATGAGGAGGAAGAGGCCAGGGAAAGCCCTGCACACGTCCAGCCACAGGAAATATCCAGGTGCTTTCACCTCGGGGAAGAGTGTTAAGATGTTCTCAGGGCCGGGCGCTGCTGGCTCAGGCCTGTCACCCTAGCTACTCAGGAGGCTGAGATCTGAGGATCGCGGTTCAAAGCCAGCCCAGGCAAGAAAGTCCGAGAGACTTATCTCCAATGAACCACCAGAAAACTGGAAGTGGCGCTGTGGCTCAAGTGGTAGAGGACCAGTCTTCAGTGAAAAAGGATAAATGGAAGTGTGAGGCCTTGAGTTTGAAACCCAGTACTGGCACCAAAAAAAAAAAAAAGGGGGGGGGGGGGCTTTCAAGGCATAACCCTGCTGAACATTTTAAAATCTACTGATTGAAACAAATTCCAGGAAATGGAACATGGAGATTTTTTTTTTTGTCGGTGGCAGTGATGAGAGTATTTGGTTTTGCTTTAGAGTTTTTGTTTTCTGTCTTTTAATGGGGGGACAAGGGGAGGATGCAGAAATGGAGGGTGAACAAATGCAATCGTGATCAGGGAACCCTTTTTGTGGAAAATGAACTGTGAGACTTGTGCATGGGGAAACTGAGGGAAAGCAAAGGAAGGGGTGACACTGTCTGGACTTACGAAACGGTCACCCCTCTGAACAACACCTGGATCAAATTCTATCTTAAAAACTTTACTCAAAAAAGTACTCTTGCAGAAAATAGACTACATGGCGAAGAACGGAGGCTGCTGCTAGTCTGTTGCGGTGTGATCGCCGGCTCGGCACCTAGCCTCTCTGTGTCCTTTTCCTCATTTCCAAGCTGGGTCTCTAGCTCACAGGACCAGACGCTAGCTTCTACCCACACCACGTGTCTTGTGCGTTGGTAACGCTAAGCAATCACAGACTCAGCATCCCCAATCCGAAAGCATATCACGTGAATTCACACAGTTGGGGCGGGTTCTGGCAGGTTTGCATTGCTGATTTCCAGATCAGGGTTGTTTTACCGGTGACATCTACGCGACTATTCCTACACGCCAAGACATCCAAACGCAAAATGACCTGTGTAACTTGTGGGCAGACACAGGAGGGGGAAGACTGGGGGACGGTGAAGGGAGGGGCGACATGGTCCCCACAAAGCAATGCACTCATTGTCTGACTTGTGAAATGAAACTTCTGTACACCACCTTCCTGAGATTATGCTACTTTTGTAAACATCCAAACTGTGAAACTCCAAGGACCACGTGTCAGATAAGGGACAGAGGAAGCCAGCCTGTGGCAGTATGAGGCCAAAGCCCAGACGCCCTTGCATCTGGGGCGGCCTTTGGGCCACGCGAGCCTGGGGGGCGTGGTCGGCTTCAGCTTCTCTTACAGCCAATGAATGCGCTGGAATGCCCAAGAGGCCTTTGTGGCCAGCCCTGGCCAGTGAGAAACTTCCTGAATGTGGCTCTTAGGGCATCGTAGGTGAAACCAGGCCTCTGAAACCATCAGAGAAGCAACCTGTGTCTTCCGCCCCTGCCAGGCTTTGCCTGCAGCTCTGTGTGCATGCCCGGCCTTGCTTTCCTCAAACAAGACAAGGGTGTGAAAAACCGGGTGCCAGTGGCTCAGTCATCCTAGTTACTCAGGAGGCTAAGATCTGAGGATTGCGATTTGAGTCCAAGCCCCAGTACTGGCACACATACACACACATGGCGGGGGGAGAGGAGGGTCGTAAGTCCCACTGTCTGTCCCTCAGGAAGCTGGGAGAGGGCAGCAGATCCAGAGCTGGAGAATGGCAGCGGCAATGGGCTCTCTCTCTCTGCCAGCCAAGGCCACGTGACACAGCAGAACAAGATGGACCGGTGTGTGACCTGCCAACCCAGAGGGAAGATAGTCTTCCTGCAAGAAGCCAGCTGCCCAGAGCCTGGCGATTTCATCAGAGGCCACCAGGAAGCTTGGGATCAACACACACCAACGGAGACCAGGGCCAGAGCAACCTGACATCCCCAAAGCTGTCTATGGGCTGCGTGCTCGGCGCTCTGCTGCCAAGCGGGGCAAACAGAGACAGATTTCTTTTTCTTCCTCAGCTGGCAGCGGAAGGATTGTCAGCCCCAACTCCCTCCCAGCCAAAGCCGCCAGCACCCGGTGAGCCAGGAACCTTGGAGATCGCGGATGATCCTCTGCAACTGGCTCTCGGCGCCGGAGGAAGCCATGGCGCATGCCCAGCCAGCCCTCCTGCTCGGTGCGTCTGGAAAGAGGCCGCCAGTCAGTGGTGCTCAGACTCCATGCTGGACCTGCACAGGGGAGGGGGGGGTCAGACACTGACTGAGGACACCCCTCTGGCCACAAGGTCACCCCACCTGCTATCATCGCAGAAGAGACAGCGTGCTCCCTTTCTGCCACTGAACGATCGGATTCCCTGACCTGCTTTGGAGCCGCAGGAGAAAGGAGATCAACATGGAACACAGTGTTCTACGTCCGTGGACAGGATCGGCTCGCCTTCCCACCTTGGCAGAGTCTCCCCCGGGCCCCCACGGGGAGGGCACAGCCCGGCTTGCCTGGCAGATAGATGGCTCCCTCCCTGGTTCTCCACTGGCCAGAGCACGGATCAGCCCGATCTGCTGACACTGCCTAGCCTGGCACCCGGGAGACTAGGTGGCTGTCCTACCAGCAAGGGACAGGTGTCTATTTTAAGCTCCATGACAGGCCTTGGCAGTTGGTGAATCCCGGGTTAACAGCCCAAGGCCGGTATCTGGTAATGTGATTTAAGGGCACTTCGGCGGCTGCAGATCAACGGCGAGGAGGCCACAGTGGCTGGTGGGGAGGGGCCTGGCCACGCGTGCGTGCGTGCGTGCGTGCGTGCACGCACTCTTCAGGGAATGTCTGATTCTGTCTACTGCAAAGCCGCAGGGTTTGCGGTGGAGAGGCCGGCCAGGCGGCAGCGGCTCACGCCTGGCATCCTAGTGGCTCTGAAGGCTGAGATCTGAGCCACAAGGTCCAAAGCCAGCCTGGACAGGAAGGAGACCTGGATCCCTAATTCACCAGCCAAAACACAGACGTGGGACTATGGCTCAAGTAGCAGAGCGCCAGCCTTAAGTGAAGACACTGAGCAAGAGTGTGAGGCCTGAGTTCAAGGCCCAGTACCCCCTGCACTAACAGCCACTACTAGGAGGGTGGACAGGCCCTGTTTCCTTTTACACACGACTACTGGTTTTTGTTTTTTGGTTGGTCCTGGGGCTTGAACTCAGGGCCTGGGCGCTGTCCCTCAGCTCTTCAGCTCAAGGTGCTCTACCACTTGAGCCACAGCGCCACTTCTGGTTTTCTGGTGGTTCATTGGAGCTAAGAGTCTCACAGCCTTTCCTGCCGGGGCTGGCTTTGAACCTCCATCTTTGGATCTCAGCCTCCCGAGTAGCTAGGATGACAGGCGTGAGCCACGGGCTCCCAGACTACTTTTTACTTCTCACAGTCACCCTGGGTGGACCACCTCTTCCCCACTCAGCGAGAGAAAAACTGAAGCTCAGGGGAGAGAGTCAGGCGGTGAAACCCCTGCTCAGTGTGATTTCAAACCTGCCAGTTTTCCCAGAATGCCCCAGGGCCCTTTAGGCCTGTGCCATGAGCACTCTAACAAGGACTAAGTGCCCCTACTGGGTATTAGAACCACTTTGGCCTCCAGGATCGATATCAGCACCCTCCCCCTGTGCGTCCCCCAGGGCTCTGGGAGTGGGGGCACTGAGGTCCTGGAAGGGCAGAGGTGGCAGCCACAAATATTTACACAAACATCCTGGCACCAGCGTGACAGGGGCCGGTCACAGTCACGAGACCAAAGGTCTTGTGCCTATTTTTAACTCCCTGGCTGGTAGAGCTGTGACTCCTCTCTGGTGCCTAGAGAGAGCAGAACACGCGGCTGCGGGGCAGTCCTAGTAATTCACTACCACCGCTATACACAATCAATACATGAGCAAGTCAAGAATGAACGAGCGGGCGCTGGAGGCTCACGCCTGTCAGCCTAGCTACTCAGGAGGCTGAGATCTGAGGATCGCGGTTCAAAGCCAGCCTGGGCAGGAAAAGTCTGTGAGACTCTTAATATCCACAACTACTAAAAAGCCAGACAGGACAGGGGATTCTGCTGTGGATGGGGGGGGGGGCACTTCTGGGAGGAATCATGGGAAAAGGGGATGGCGCTCCAGGTCTGTGACTGCCCCACGAGGCCCCCTGGCCGCGGGTCACTGAGCACGCACTGGCTGAGGTGCACACGAGAGGGACCATTCTCCCAGGTTTGAGACTGCTGTGATCTGGGGGTCACTGCTAACCTAGGAAAGGCACAGAAGGGGTACGCCTGCTCCCCAGCCCTGCTCGTGTGAAGCCTGCCCTGTGGTTGAGGCGAGAAGACTTCTGTGAACCAACCTCGCCCTGACACCCACAACCCAGGAAGCGACGTGACTCGCAGAGCCTGGCACTGCCCGATGGCCCTGGGGGAGGGGCCCCTGGTCTCCCACTCCCCAAAAGACCCCCCTCCCCCGAAGTACAAGTCACCGCCACCAATCCACCAACATCTGAAAACCCTTCAAAACCCCGCAGTGCCGTCTCTCACCAGCTCTTTCAAGTCAGAAACCCACTGATGAGAAATCTTGGACCATTTTTGGATTTTCCTGTTAACGACTCAACATTAACACGTAAATCTCGTCGGAAAACAACCAAGTTCCCAAAGGAGGGGAACGGGAATTAACGTGCAGGGTTATTGTGGGTCTCTGAGGCTTTCTGAGGGGTACTAGGGTCTGAGCTTAGAACCCCAACACTCCTCGAGCCCTGGATTTCCACTGATCGTTTTTAGGGTGGGGTTCCCTTCTGCACCCAGGAGCACCCCTGAGTCAGAATTCACCCACTTGAGGCTGGGACCGTAGGTGTGCACCACCATGTCCAGCTTCCCCTCATGGAGACAGAGACTTCTCCAGACTGCTCTGCAAGTGCAATCTTACCCATCTCAAGCTCCCATGAAGCCTGGCTTGGGTTCTGTCTGGGCTGGCCTCAAATGGTTATCCTCATATTCTCAGCCTCCCTAGTAGCTAGAATTGTAAGTGTGAGCCACTGGCACCTGACTTAAATGGGGTCTTCAAAGTTATTACCTGAGCCGGGCACCAGTGGCTCACACACGCCTGTAAATCCCAGCTATCAGGAGGCTGAGATCTGAGGATCGTGGTTCAAAGCTAGCCTAGGCAGGAAAGTCCATGAGACTCTTATCTCCAATAAACCACCAGAAAACTGGAAGTGGCACGGTGGCTCAAGTGGTAGAGTGCTCACCTTGAGGTGAAGAGCTCAAGGACAGTGCCCAGGCCCTGAGTTCAAACCCCATGACCAGCCCCCCCACAAAAGTTATTACCTGGGCTTCTATAGCCATGGCAGAAGAGTTAATTTAGAGGTAATTTGTGACTTGTGCCCGCAGAGATACCTTACATGCCTTAAACAACAGATACCACAAATTAAAGCCAGATGGAGATACAAACACACAGACTTGACTCATGTGAACTAGTTTGAGCTATGGTGCAAATGGCCAACTAATGCTTACAAATGTAGCTGGGGTGAGAACACAAGATGGGAGCGGTCAGACAGGAAGAAAAGAAGCACCACCAAAGAGGAGGAGGAGACGCCACGCCACGCCTTCAGAACCACAGTCCCAACAGCACAGCTAAGAACTTGACCCCAACAGGACACCGTACACTTGGTGTCCTCCCGACTCCCAACACAAGGAGGGAAGATACCAGCTGTAAATTCCATCCTGACCAAAGAAGAGCCATCAGAAAGGCAGTTCAGGAAGCAGAGAGGCCCCCTGGCAAAAGCGTTGAACACGACCAACAGCAGCTATGAAGTCATCGCCTATAGAAAGACGTGTACCTGGCTGGTAGCTGGAGCTCTGGAGGTCCCTGTTGGGACTGCTGGGGGGCAAAGCAGGTTGGGGGTTCAGGGGTGTCCCAGAGGCGGGCTCGGAGGCAGGGCCTTCCCCCTCAGCCCGTGTGAGTCAAAGCCATTAGGTAACCCAACGCCTTTGGTCTGTAATTACAGTGTTTACTGAGTGGCTCATCCTTCCCAGATACTCCTATCTGCAGTCTTCTCTCTTTTACAAGGAATGAGGGGGACCCAGACGCTGGTGGCTCGCGCTTGTCATCCTAGTTACTCAGGAGGCTGAGATCTGTGGATCCCAGTTCAAAGCCAGCCCAAGCAGGAAAGTCCCTGAGACTCTTATCTCCAGTGGGCCACCAGAAAACTGGAAGTGGCGCTGTGGCTCAAGTGGTAGAGCGCTTGCCTTGAGCTGAAGAGCTCAGGGACAGCGCCCAGGCCCTGAGTTCAAGCCCAAGGATGAGCAGAAAGAAAAAAAAAAGGCCAGGAGTGGAGTGTGGCTCAAGTGTTAAGAGTGCCAGTCTTGAGCAAAAGGCTAAGGGACAACATCCAGGCTCTGAGTTCAAGCCCCAGAACTGGCGCACAGGTGCACAAAACCAAAAGAACAGACTCTAGTAGACTATGACCTTGCTATTACTTATGACCTTAAGGAGGGTCTGTGTGACCTTCTGAGCTAACTACCAGCTGCTGGCCAGGCCACCAGTGTGAAAGGTGGGCTGATCGCAGCTGTGAACGAGGCCTGACCTTTAAGCAATTCATACTGTGGGAAGACTCGCACATCACCTCCGACAACCTTACGAACTCCAAAGGGCATCTGAAGCCTCAGAAGGCAGCGATGACAACCAGCCCATATGCAGATCAGGCGCTGAAGCCCTGCCCGGGATCTGTTCTCCTCTGGACTTTAGGCCTATTGGCCACCGCAGTAGCCCTGTAAAGCCTTTAATCTGTTTCCACACTCTGTCTGTAGCTGACGCTGCTGTCTGTTTATTCCCCTGGCGACTGGGGATTGCTCTGGTACGTGGAGAGGCCCCGGTAAGCTGCCAGGAGAGGTGAAATAATACATCCATTCTCATGTCACACACCAAACTAAACCTTGAGGCAGAGAAATAAGCTGGAAATGTAACTTCACCATCAACATCACTGTTGGTGGAAAATTAGATCTAAAACAAAAAACCTGGGCTGGGAAGGTGGCTCAAGTGGTAGAATGCTAGCCTTGAGTAAAAGAAGCTCAGGAACAGTGCCCAGGCCCTGAGTTCAAGCCCCAGGATTGGCAAAACAAAAACAAACAAACAAAAAAAAACACCTATTTTTGGGTGAGTCAGGTGTGGTGATGCACACCTGTAATCTGAGCTACACAGGAGGTACCAAAATAAGAGGATCAAGGTCTGAGGCTAGACTGGCC